TCGTTTGTTTTGACGTCAGGGAATTGAACAACCAACCATCCACTCTCCAGACAGCCGCTGTGTCCACCAGACCACCAACGCGGTCCACACCGTTGGGAGACATTTCCTGCAAGAATATTGATATGCATCTTTCACTAACACTAAACCTACCATCATCAAAGCCAACACCATCAAAGACCTTTCCCCCAACCAGCATGGGCTGCTCCTTGAACCCCGTCCTTGACCTGACACGTGACGGGGTCACTATTAGGTCACGTGGCGTGATGTCATCATCAGCTACGAGACTAATTTCATCATCGTCAACGGATTCCTCTCTTGGCAAAACCTTTTCCGTAGGGTTCTGCATCGGAGGAGATTTGCCCACTGTTGGCCCTTGGCTCTTAATTATTGGTGCAGCCCGTATTTTGTCAATTTCATACTTTTGAAATCTGGGTGCAGAGTTTACATTTGGAGATAGAACCATCGCTGGGGTGATTGCAGGAAGGTCAACAGTCGACTTCCGGTTCCTAAGGGGAGCGTCAGTTGGTGACTCTGAAATACCGGTTTTCAGAACATATTTTAAGCATATGTTTAAGGCGACACTCGATATCGTGGATTTCTAATCTTATGTATTCATTATACAAAAACAAATATATTAATGTGAAAACTTTACGTCAAGTGGAATAACTTTGTTTCTTGACTGAAATCAACAAGAAACTAATTACAATTATTTAAGTAACTGATTAATATTTTCATCATTAATAAATTGATTAGTTATCTTTTTCATTTCAGTCAAGACATAAAACAATATTAATTTTCTGATATATTACATGCTTATGTTATCGCGTGACCTGCAAAGAGTCACATTTGTCAAGACTTTTGTGTGGCTTCAGTCACAACCCGTGAAGATCTGGGTTAGAATTGGTCTTCAGCAGTCCATGCTTGTCGTAAGAGTCAGACTCACCGACTTGGTTGACACATGTCATCGGTTCCCAATTATGTAGGTCGATGCTCCTGATGTCAATAACTGGATTTTGTCTAGTCCAGACTCGAGTATTTACAGTATTTACAGACCGAGTGCGGCGTTAAACAACAAACAAACAAAATCCTCTTAGCTCACCTGGTCTAGGGATGATAGTGGTGGCTGGGGGCAGTGGTGCGACATCACGGAACAATGGTGCTGTAGACTTCTGGAAAAGTAAACAAAAGCTCAGTTCGTCAATTATCGTGTTTCCAAAGTGTTTACCATATAATGAAAAGTCTTATCGACGTGATAAACCAGTCCCATAAAACTGGTAACACGATCTGAAAAATATGCAAATCAGGTGCCCTAACTGGGTCTACGTTTTAGATGCTCAATACATCGAAAATTCCATGAGTTTCCCAATACATATGCGTGGTATCCAAACATGGCTGCAAATAGTCTGGCATAGTGTAGGATTATTACCCTTATAAGTTTCCACAGCGTAATTACCATATATTTAAGGATTGCTTCACAACTTTCTGTATTTACTAAAAGCCTATGTAAAGATGTTTCGCCCCTCTTCCATTTCCTGCATTTACCTAAAAATAACATTTAGTTTTAATTCCACATCAACAAATCATAGGATAAGATTAATATAAAGTTGGATACCATACAGACTTTGTAATTAATTACAGGGATTAACAGGTATTATGTAACAGCAGGCTCACCATTATACAGTGACAGCCCAGGCTTTTCATTAGGCTAATAAATACGTCATTTCAGCAAAACGTCACCTTGCGTAAAGGAAAAGCGGCACCTTATGTTTTTAACCTCGTTTTGAAAAAAAAGAATAAACATCTACAGAATACCGGATTCCTACTAGCCATATTGTTTAGTGTCAGGTCGCCCTGACCCTAATCCTAACCCTAAACCTAACTCTAACCCTGACCCTAACCCTAACCCTAACCCTGACCGGATACCTGCCAGCCATACTGTTTAGTGTCACGTCGCCCTAACCCTAATCTTAACCCTAAACCTAACTCTAACCCTAACCCTGTTTAGTGTCACGTCGCCCTAACCCTAACCCTGACCCTAAACCTAACCCTTACCCTGTTTAGTGTCACGTCGCCCTTACCCTAACACTGACCCTGACCCTGACTCTAAACCTTACCCTGACCCTAACCCTTACCCTGACCCTAACCCTGTTTAGTGTCACGTCGCCCTAGCCCTAACCCTAACTCGAAACCTAACCCTGACCCTAACCCTAACCCTAACCCTACACCTTACCCTAGCCAAAAGTAAACTCGCGTGCTTTCAAAGGTGGCAGAAGGTATCCGGTATTCTGTAATCTTACCCATTTGCGAAGCACTCATCTCTGTTTTCGTTCGGCAGTGAACAGAAGTTTTCGCCAGAGTAGAACCGTTTTGTCAACAGGGAATAAATTATGTTTTGTTGTCTTATTATTTTTCAATAACACGCGCCATGTCTGGACGACACCTGGACAGAGGTCACTATCCTGACCACTCATGAGCTGACCTTCAGTCATTATCTACACCACAGTTGGCACAATGGACATGTCAATAACCTAACCCGGGCATAGGTCAAGGTAAAAAGGTAGGCCAGTATTGTATATACAAATACATTTGTATATGCAGTTCCATACTCACTCTGTCCTTGTTCTCTGTACTGAGTGGCTTCTCTGTAACAGACAATGAAGTAGGTATTGAATGGTATACCTTTTGTTTGTTTGTTGTTTAACGCCACACTCAGCAATATTCCAGCTATATGACGGCGGTCTGTACATAATAGATCCAGGACCAGACAATCACGTGATAAACATCATGTGTGGTGTACGAAATTGGGATACGATGACATGCATGTCAACCAAGTCAGCCAGGCTGACCACCCGATCCCGTGAGTCGCCTCTTACAACAGGCATGGGTTGCTTCACCCTAATTTTCACGGGTTTGATGGTGCACTAGATGAATCAATATGGCTTAACACACATTGTACCCTTGTAGGGAATCTTCTGTGCGACACTTCAACCATTAGGCTACCTCACATTCCTGTTCTAGGTAAGCTGTGAGACATATTTTTATTGATGTTACGTTCCAATGTACTCGTGTTTGTGAATTTGCGTTTACTTATAATAATATGTATATATGGAAATAAACTCATTAGCAAAACAGACAATATTTCACTGTCGATGTTTTTTGTTTAATTTCCAGTTGAAAATATTGTAAGTTAACGATTATATATAAATAAAATAAACTGTACGGCTTTGTCATTAGTCCAAGACTTAAACCTTTCAAAGATGCAATATATAATTTAAAAAATTGCTATTAAGTATCTAATTTTTTAAGCATTAAAACGTTTGCTTTTTTAAGCACAAATTTACATTTCAAAAAGTGTAGGTCATGTCGTTGCAAATTCAATTATCACCCCAGTATTCACTGAATCAAAATTATGTTTAAACAACGATACTCAGTCACAGATTAATGTTCACCAGCCAAGGGAAATCAGAAATGGTCATGATCAAATTTAACACGTGTTCTTTCAATTTTCGATCACAACAAACATCTCGTTACACTTTCGTTGCCGTTCAGTATACTTGTACATTAACTACTCACCATCAGAAATATCCAGTGATTTCCTGAAATAGAGAAGATCGAGCTTTAATTCTTTCACAAAACATTTCATTCATTGTTTGTTGTTTTACGCCACACTCAGCAATATTCCAGCTATACAGTTTGTAAATAATTTGAGTGTCCCGAAATCATGTGCATCGAACTACGCAATTGGGATACGGAGACATGTATCAACTAAGGCAACGAACCTGACCACCCGATCCCGCTAGCTAATCCCTACGAAGGCCAGTCCTAACCCGGAACTTCATGGAGTCTCCTGAACCAAGAACTAATAATGTATAATAATATCAATTATTTAAAAAGTATTAAAACTGTCATCATTGTCATAATCAATAATTTCTATCATTGATAATTGGTATGATGGCCTTCATAATAACAGACACGCACGTACGCACGCACACATCTACATCACGGCTTATCAGCTGAATGTTGGAATTGTGGAGTTTAAAAGTCGTCTCCACAAGTAATCCAATTATACCACGTCGTGGGAGCTTAATGTGTGTGGACCCGTGAAGATCCGGGGTAGAATAGGTCTTCAGCAACCCATGCTTGCCACAAAAGGCGACTATGCTTGTCGTAAGAGGCGACTAACGGGATCGGGTAGTCAGGCTCGCTGACTTAGTTGACACATGTCATCGGTTCCCAATTGCGCAGATCGATGCTCATGCTGTTGATCACTGGATTGTCGGTCCAGACTCGATTATTTACAGACCGCCGCAGCTGGAATATTGCTGAATGCGGCGTAAAACTAAACTCACTCACTCACTCACTTATTGTGTGTGAGGAGAGCCCGAAATGTTGCAAGTGTTCAAAGTTTATCACATCAATGAAGCCAACGAGCACCAGTTCACAATTATCGGATTCTGGTGGGTCCAAGGGACGCAACTCTCCACAGCAAAACAACGGCGTCTTAGACGATTGCGCCACCCATGTAACCATGAATTTAGTAGGATCGATTGTAATAATTAATTCCTTGAAACCAAAATGTATATGTACACTGAAAGACAAAATGCCATGGAAGTGATACCTTTTTATTTTTGTTGGGAATAATTCAAATTTAGTTCACTAAGGCATTCACTTTTATATAAAGAAACTCAATTTGAAGTCTCATGCTTTGGAAATATATTCAAACCCAATGGACATTAATGGAAAAAAATGTAAATGTCAGTAAATGTTCTGCTGATGTTGACGGAATTGTATCACATTGCAAGAACAATGTCTGAAGTTATAGTAACGAATAACAGTCCACAGGCCCTGAATAGGCATTTAACACGGTGGGGTTCAGGACGTCGTTCCATTTCATGGTGACAATGGTGACTTGATGACGGATTTCAAGACCATGGAATCTTGCACACTGACATTGTTCTAAGACGGGTGTTGCTGCATAACTCCAGGAAGTAGTGTCTGTCCTACTGGAGAAGTTGACCATGATGTTCTGCAATCGGGATTGGCGTTCTGGCACGCTCGTAGATGCACAGAAGACGTCGGATTGTCGTCTCAGATACGCTTCCATTGCCAGGAAGGTCGTGAGAGTTGCTCTTTCCTGTGTCGAAGATGGGTTTGAATCCTTTTGTTTGGTGAGGGGTTGTCACGGACGGGTTGTTGTCTCTACACAGACGATCCTGTGGACGTTGAATTGACGTGTAACGTCACGCTGCGAGGTAACTGATTCAAACAATTTTAAGGTTCACACGTTGTAAAACCGCACTCTAGTGATCAAAAGGGGGGTGTTTCTGAGCTCTGCTCTTCCGAAGAGTGAACAGACTGGCGAATATATAGGATTAGATGTCTGACCTTTAAGGTTTCAGTATTTCTTTTCGGGTGTAGGGTTGTCGGATGAGGTTTGGGGTTGAGGTTGGGGTTGGGGTTGGGTTTGGGTTTGGGGTCGGGTTTGGGGTGACAAATACCACCGCAACATTTGGAAGCGTTTTCCTAGAGCTTCTCTCAAACAGTTTCCTCTGTTCAAATGCCAAGAAGTGAAAAACTCCATATGGGGAATCGAACCCAGATCTTCGACGTGAAGAGCGAACGTTTAAACCACTAGGCTACTCCACCGCCCCATATCAGCAATTAATATTCGGATTGTGAAAAATCAATACATGTATTTTTGTAAGTCAAATATTTTAAGATAGACTTACGACACACGTAGCGTTGTGTGAAATGGAGCTGAGGTGGGCAAACCAGCTAATAATTCTGCGAGATATTTGACATCAATTTTCTGCATCTATATTTTTCGGTATACGATTGGTATAGGGCTGACGAATACAGAAACATAATCTGGGATTCGAACCCGCTATGAGTTCTTGTTATGTTTTCTGGTGCGCTAAAAGGACACAACTCTGCTAGGGAATTGCTGAAAATAGGTCTACCGTGAACTCAGTTACCTATATAATACTGAGACGGTCTTACCTGGCCTTCTTCTTCAGCCTCCAGATGATACAGGTGACGATGAGGATGAGGATGACCAACCCGACAGCTGCAGCTAGAGCGATGACAGTGATGCCTACCGGGGACGCCGTGAAGACAGCTGCCGCTGACGTCGTCCCTGCGTCGTATGGCATCACCTGGTCAACAGTGGCCGCCCCGGAGGATAGACCCGCCACGGGAGTTCCATCTGAGGACGACTGCAGCACCTGGGCGTGGAGTGAGAGAGCATTCTTTTATAAAAGCGACAAAACAATTTCCTTACTCATGAGTGAGTGAGTGAGTATTGTTTTACAGCCCCTTTAGCTATAGTCAAGCAATATCACGGCGACGGGCACCAGAAATAGGCTTCACACATAATACCCATGTTGGGAATCGAACGCGGGTCTTCTGCGTGACGAGCGAACGCTTTAGCTACAAGGCCACCTCATCGCCCCGTTGTGTTTATTGTTTTGTTTGATTGTTTGTTGCTTGTTGCACTTAACAATTCCAGCTATATGGCGGCGGTCTGTAAATAATCGAGTCCGGACAAGACAATCCAGTGATTGGCATCATAAACATCGATCTAGGCACTTGGGATACAATGACACGTGTCAAATAAGTCTGCAAGCCTGATCACCCGATCCATTTAGTCGCCTTTTACGACAAGAATGGGCTGTTGCATTCTCTTCCCACAGAGGCAATAAATCCCCTAGCGGAGAAAAAATCTCAACACGAATTATCTCCCTTCTTTCTGTCCAATCAGACCACGTGTTACATCGATCTGACTTGACTAATATCAAGCAAATGTGGGGCCACAAATATCCCTCCTCTGCCGGCGACTTGTGTTTATGTGACACACAAGGCATTTAATGGCTAGCTTGTCCGTTGTCAACGAGGGCGATGGAGACGCCATTGATCCTCTATTACATGACTGAGTTCTGTTCTAGTTTTCCCGAAAACATACGGAAATTACCGAGACCTTGCTGATCATCACATTTGAAACAACTAAAACTGACTGCAACCAATCACGAATCCTCAACACTCGCACCTTGAAAGGGCCGTATTAGAACAGATGTTCGTAGGAAGATATGACAAGTAACCTCTGTGGGAAGAGAATGGGGCTGCTGAAGGTTGCATTTTTTGCACGGATCTTCATGGGATAACACGTGTTCATGAACCACAGCGAAACTACGCCGCCGTGTAACATGAATATGCCAGACATATGGATTCCAAACCGCCCAGTCCTTGTTATATTCCCTTCATGACGAGGGTGGTATGGTAGCCACTTGGGTACAGCGTTCGCTCGTCACGCCGAAGACCCGTGTTCGATTCCTTGCATGGGTACAATATGTGAATCTCATTTTAGTGTCTCTCGTCCTGCATTTGCTGTAATATTGCTAAAAGCGGCTTAAAACATCAGACACCCCTTCATGCCGAGCTCCAGGGAAGATACAACAAGCATAATCTTTTAACATCTTTTGGTATGACGCGGCCGGGGATCGAACACCGACCTTCCGTTCTCAGGTTCCACGGTCTATCAACTACACCATACTGTTGGAGATGACATACCTGTAGGACGGCCTGCTGAGTCAGGAACTGTTTTGGGCTCTGGGCACCACTGAGAGAGTTCACACTGGGGTCGGCCACCACGTACACCTGGGCTGACGACCTGTAGGTAGTGAGTGAGTTGAGTTTAAAGCCGTTTTCAACAGTTTCCGCGCGGGCCGGTTGTACAGAATGTCCGGTAGACGTGTGACAATTATTTACGTTATCACACATTTAGAACTTTGGTAAAATAGGTTTATACAAAATATACCACAGTTAAATATGAGGGAAATCATATATCGGGACCACTAACTGCGGATCCTGGTACAGCAAGGGGAGCACATTTTACAGTAACATTTTGCGCATTAGACACAGTCAACTCTGTCCACAAACTGCTAAGAGTGAGTAATGTTTCCCGACGCTTTTTGCAGTTCTCATTACACTTAAAAATCTGCATTGTATCCATGTTGGGAATCGAACCCAGGCGGACGTTTTAACCACTAGACTACCCTATCCTACTCACTGTGCTGCTAGAAGACGCCGCCTAGCTGAAGTCCCTTCCTGTCGCACCTCCCATATGCCAGCGTACTGGGTCGATAGGAAGAAACTCTGGATATGGGACCGAACTCCTTGCCTAAAAGAAAATGTCGAATTAATTGAACATCACCTGTTCCTTCGTTTTAAAAGTAATAATTCTCAGCATGATTTTCAAAAAGTTCTATTGGCGTCAGTTTAAAAATGAAAAATAACAAATATCTGAAGATTTAAAAAAAATCAATTACTACCCTTTCCTAGTTTGCGTATCTTATGTATTATTGGTTAGATAAGACTCAGCTGAAAACCCCCACAAAATACTTTTGCTGAACATTAAACAAAAAATATATAACAAATAGATTTACATTATCTTTACAAGCACGTACAGCAACCTATCAGTTAGAATTGCTTTAGGATATTAGTGTGTTAGTTGTTGCGATGGCTCTTAAATAGTCTCGAAAGCTGCATTACTGTTGACCTTGAAGGGAACGTTAATAGATATCAAAACTAATATTTCATTTATAGCATCATATTATCCTAATATTTATTGATGCAAAATCGAGCTTAGTATTAAAGGATGTTTGGTTTTGGATATTTTATGATGAAAAGAATCTCTTGTCTCCATACAAATTCCCTGGGCCTCTTACTCCAAGAGTATGAAAAAGTCAGTCTCTAAATAATATAGAACAAACTTTATGGATAACAACTTCTTTTTATTCGTGATGACGTTTTGATACAGATTCTTGTACCGTTGTCAAGCATAATGATTATGCTTGACAACGGTACAAGAATCTGTATCGAAACGTCGCACTCACGAATAAAAAGAAGTTGTTATCCATAAAGTTTGTTCTATATTGTACTTCCCAACTTCTAAAATGCCACTCAAAGAAGTCCCTAAATACCTACCTATTCAGTTCAATGACGTCTTTGGTGTCGCTGAACGTTATTACAATCATGTGCCTCGCTGCTTCAAAACAGTCAACTCTTACAAGCCCAAGAACGGCCAGCGATTGTCCGGAGGTGACGTTGACCGCTTGGCAAATGACCCATTCAAAATGTCGAGTGTCCTTGAATAGTTTCCCTGAATCCTTTACTGTGACAACACCAGTGTCTTCGTTGACGCTGACCACTCCTCCGCCGCTGACCGTCACGTATTTGACGCTGTTCACTTCTACAGGATTAAGACCAAAAGCATCCAACGTCAACGTTATCACGGCGGCCCCCGTTGCTGCAGTGTCGGGGACCTCCGCGGATATGAAGGCAGACGTCCCTGACGTGTCCGCTTCGATGACGGTTTCAGCCACATCAACAATATCAATAACTAGAGTAATCTCCCCTGATCTGCCACCACCGTCGGTCGCAGAGATAGCAAAGTTTACAACAGGATTGCTCTCAAAGTCTGCTGGATCCTTTACAGAAAGAACGCCGGAATTGTCAATCTGAAACAACCCGTTGCCAGCGACGTATGACGTCGGTATGGAGTACGTAATCTGTCCATTTGTTCCGTCATCAGGATCTGTTGCTGTAATGGTCGAAACAACAAACCCAGCTGGAGAATTCTCTACAACCTTGATGTTCAAAGTCGACGTAGGAAAAACGGGGTCGTTGTCATTTTCATCCAGGATTGTAATCTTAACAATTCTGTCTTCAGATAAACTGTTGTCATCCAGCTCATTCACTGTCAGAACGAACTGGCTGTATGTCTCACGATCTGGTTGCTTTGTGAGAGTTATCTCCCCATTTCCGTTTGGCATCTTCGTTATGGCGAACAAGGAGTCAAAGTTGCCAGATACAATGGAGAACGTTACAACAGCTCCAGCTCTGTGACTTCCATGAGGAGTCACTTCACCAACAGATGAACCAATGGCGGAGTTTTCTAAGATTGCAAAGTCAAACGTTGAAATCACAGAATTAGCCACTGGTGTAACTCGGACAGTGACAGTCATCTGTCCAGTTCGGCTAGGGATACCACCGTCCTTGGCAGTTACTGTCAATGTATAGAGGTCTGCTGTTGGTGAAGTCACCATCTTCAGGACTCCATCTTTCGATCCAATAACAAATATCCCTCCTCATTACCAGATACCACTACGTACACAATGTCACCGTAAGTTCCAGCATCTTCGTCTGTAGCTGTTTCTGAAGATACAACCGAGCCAACATCAGTGATCCTGTTAACTATTTTGTCTATGGATGAAACTGAAAACCGCGGTGAATTATCGTTTGCATCAACGACAGTGACGTTCAAGGAGCAGGATCCTGTATTCGATGGAGTTCCCCATCAGTAGCTTCTATATTCAGAATATAATTATCATCCGTTTCTCTGTCCAGTGCAGTTGCAATTGACAGGACTCCAGTTTCGGCGTCTATCACGAAAACCCCAGCATCATTACCAGAGGTTATTTGGTAGGTTAATTTAGCATTGAGTCCAGCATCAGCATCTGTAGCCCTGACTGTGTAGACTTCATCATTAACCGGCATGGTTTCAATAACAGGAAAGGAGTAAACGGTATCTGAGAATTCTGGGGTGTGGTTGTTGGTATCCTCAACCTTAACCACGACCACAGCAGTGGAAGACCGTGCTGGACTGCCGCCATCAGTGGCTACCACAGCCATATAGTACACACCCTGTCTACTATACTCAGTAACCACCGCAACAGTCAGATACCCCGAAACAGGATCAAACGTAAAGTCAGTAGATCCACTTGATGGTGACATTGCCATGGTGACCTGTCCCAAAGTTCCCCCATCACCATCTGATACCACCACTTGTCCCACAGTAGTCCCAACATTAGATCCTTCTGGTGTCGTCATCTCGTACACCGGCATACTGAATATTGGCGGGTTGTCGTTCAGATTCGTAATGATGATGTCCAGGGTTATCGTATCGGTGGATGAAGAGTTATCCCTCCTTGTAGCCTGAATAACAAGGTTATATTGCTGCGTGGCCTCAAAGTCTAATTGTCCTGCAATATAGACCTCCCCAGTCGACTCATGTATGTGGAAAGAGTTATTCGTGTTCCCATTTTGAATTGAATAAACTAAGTCATCTTCATTTGCACCGCTTACTGTGGCATTAAGGTCTGTTATGGGTGTTTTGACGACCGTGTTTTCATCTAAAGTTATTGATAATGAATTTGGTCCAAATTCTGGAATTACTAAATTTTGGAGGATACTGATGATGACAGCTGTCTTTGACGATCTGATCGTAGGGCCGTTATCAGATGCCCGTACATCCAGTGTGTACTGCTTCTGTGTAGTGTAGTCCACGGTTCCTTTAGTTTTAATGGTATTTCCATCGAGCTCAAACACATCTCCATCATTTCCTCCCATGATGGTCAGATCAATCTTGGCATTAGTTCCAATATCTAAATCGGAAACATTAACAGTTCCAACGGAAGCACCTACAGTTACACCATCATGTAATTCAAACGAGTACAGAGTCTGATTAAACTTTGGGTCGTTGTCGTTGACATCATTGACCACAATCGTCAATTCCATTGCCACCGTATCATTGATTTGGTTTGACACGTTCACACTAAAAACATACAGATCCTTTGTCTCCCTGTCCAGGAGCTTAAGCAGGGTTATAAATCCATTATAGATAAGAAACGTTCCATCATTGCCACTCGTAATAACGTAGGTAAGTTGCGAGGATATATCCAGATCTTGGGCAACAATTTGATACACGTGGGTCCCTAATACAGCATTTTCATCAACGGAGGTGTTGACAGCTCCATTAACCAAGCCGATGACGTCTATGGGATGTTCATCGACATCAGTCACCTCCACCAAAACAGTTGTCTCCCCTGACCTGGACAGGATGCCACCATCGGTTGCAGATATGGTCAACGTATAAGCACTGAGTGTCTCTGCATCTAGAGGCTTGTCCAGAATCAGCATCCCAGATGGGTTTATGATGAAAGTATTGTCAACGTTACCTGATACTATGACATATGTAAGATCAGCATTAACACCAAAATCAGCATCAGTTGCAGATATCATCTGAATACCTGTAGTTACATTGATGGACTCGACAACAGGTATTTTGGTAAATGTTGCTCCGAAAACAGGGTCATTGTCATTGACGTCGTTGAGTATAATGTCAAGAGAGCTGTCTGTGGACTGGCTGGAATCAAAGGTTCTAACTCTGATACCAATACTGTAATTGGCAACGTCTTCTCGGTCAAGGTCTGCCAGAACATAGATCTGTCCTGAATACTGATCGATACCGAATCTGTCACCAGTATTTCCAGATGCGATCTCATACACCAAAGTACTGAAAGAGCAACATGCTTGGACTTTCATCACTGGTTCTCCAGCGGAAACGTCTTCCAATTTGTTGACGCTCGCGGGGAGGTTTGTGAACGACAGATCAACCTCCACGAACACCAGGACTGGGACTTGGGTGCTGAGAGGCGATGCCCCTTTGTCGGTGACTGCGATCATGAGAGCATATGAAGATGATGTAGGTGTTGCTGAGAGTTTGAGACTCCCTGTTGCATCAACACCAAACACTCCAGAGTCCCCGGCAGCGATGGTATAAATCAGCTCGGCGTTTACGTCAGCGTCATCGTCAACGCATACCAACGCTGTTAGTGTCGTTCCGGTTGTGTATGGTTTGGGCACGATAATTGTTGGAACGGGATCACAGATGGCGACGTTGTCATTGACGTCTGTGATGTCAAACTGAACCGTGACGGATGAAGACTTTGGAGACGTTGTTGATTTGTCTGTGGCGATGACAACGACGTCCCAAGTTGAGTTTGTTTCTCTATCCAGATTGAGTCGTGTAATTATCTCGCCTGATGCACTGTCTATGAGAAATGGAACAGATGGGTCTTGCAGGGAATAGACGACGTCACCATCAACACCAACGTCGGCATCGGTAGCGGTGATCTGCAGCACCGTTGTTCCTGCCGAAAGTAAATACAGATTATAGAATGTATTTCGTATTAGATGGAAAGACGGTGGTATTTAGTATTAAACAATTTGCGCCGGCTGCATTTCAGAATAGCTTCCATTCTTGTAGGACCCGTGAAGGTCCGGGTTAGAATGAACCTTCAGTAACCCATGCTTGTCGTAAGAGGCGACTAACGGGATCGGGTGGTCAGGCTCGCTGGCTTGGTTGACACATGTCATCGGTTCCAAATTGTGCAGATCGATGCTCATGCCGTTGATCACTGGGTTGTCTGGTCCAGACTCGATTATTTACAGACCGCCGCCGTATAGCTGGAATATTGCTGAGTTCGGCGTAAAACTAAACTCACTCACTCACTCCATTCTTGTAGGAGATGGCTAATAGTGATCTGCACGTATGATTGACAATTTGAATGGTGCTTGCTACGCCTATGTTTAAACAGTGTCGTTAGCTTTGTTCTACGCCACAGCTCACGGACTGGAGTGAATATTTTTGATGAAGGTGAGATAGATATTAACCAACCTGGCTGTGTGTCTTCAGGAATGTTCTGGGTGGGCAGTGGCGAAAATGTCGGTGTGTAGTCGTTCACGGGGGTGACAGTCAACACAATCATGCATTGTGACGTCAGACTGGGCACTCCTTTGTCCACTGCAGTCACACGTGCGACATGGTCAGTTCCGGTGACAAGGATATCTGTGATGGTCACTACACCAGAGTTCACGTCGATGTTGAAAAATGTTCCTGGAGAAAGAAAAAAGAATTTAAAGTTATTCAGAGTTATTCTACTAATTTACAAAGAAAAGTTTTGTAAAACAAATAGTGAGTGAGTGAGTTTAGGTTTACGCCGCACTCAGCAATATTCCAGCTATATGGCGGCGGTCTGTAAATAATCGAGTCTGGACCAGACAATCCAGTGATCAAAAGCATGAGCATCGATCTGCGCAAATGGGAACCAATGACATGTGTCAACCAAGTCAGCGAGCCTGACCGACCGACCCCGTTAGTCGCCTCTTACGACAAGCATGGGTTACTGAAGGCCAATATTCTAACCCGGACCTTCACTGGTCTAAAACAAATAGAATCAGCGGGTGAAAGAATGTGGATCAACGTTGTTCTTCAAACTCTACCTCGTTAAGAACGATGGAATTGAACCCAGACTCATAGATTCCTGGCATGCTTAAGGGAGGCAACTCGTGCCTTATCACGACTCACCCAGGGATCAAGGCAGGGAAGCAGATAGCTTTACGTATACATACCATCTATTGAATATTCGACTTGTCCGCCCGCTCCGTCGTCGGGGTCGTTTGCAGTCACCGTCCCTGCTGTCGACCCAGATGCTGAGTTTTCCGGTAATGTCACAGCGTATACGGGCTAAAGGAGGAAAGAATAAAGTATTATCTGAGCGTTTCAAAAAGAACCACATATGAGTGAGTGAGTGAGTGAGTGAGTGAGTGAGTTGTTTAAATAGTATGCCAGTTACACCAGGAATTACGAGCCCGGGCCCCGTTTCACAAAGCTCTCGTAGGCCTAATATCTCATAACTTTTCTCGTAGCATTCGTACTTCCTATGTTACAGTATAGGAGGTACGAATGCTACGAGAAAAGTTACGAGATCTTTGTGAAACGGGGCCCAGGTGTAGAGTATGGCTAATGCAGTAACAAAGGGAAACTCACAAGCTCAGGTATATCATATACAAACAAATAGGTAACTTGAACCCAAGGCATATCGATTTAGGGCCGAGATTTATACATTGGGTCATCCAGGCCATAAAACAAGCCTCAGTAGGAAGGCCGTGCAGTTACTGTGCATTTCAACAGATGTAACGCAGTAACAGAAAGGACCCTCACCTGAGAGATAATGGAACTAAACCCCCGACCCCACAGTGCTGACGACAGGTAAAGCTTTACGTACCAGAGTGAAACTTGGCTCTTCATCGTTCACGTCGGTGAGCGTGATAGTTACGTGAGCCGTAATATTCTTGTCTTCGTTGTTGCTGCTGTAAGCGGTGATGTCAAACTCCACTACGGGCAACGTCTCGCGGTCTAGAGCAGCTGTCACCACGATGGCACCTGGAGAAACATGAAAAATTACAAAATGAATTTTTCATATGTAATTTAGTTTGTCGCCTCTTTTAGCAATAATCCAGCGATATCGCGGCGGGGGACACCAGAAATGGTCTTCACATATTGTATCCATGTAGGGAATCAAACCCGGGTCTTCGACTTGACGAGCGACCGCTTTAACCACTGGGCTATCCCACCGCCCACTTTTATTATGCAATGCCCTTTTAATGCCCTAGTATGTATTTTCTACTTTCAAAGCCTTTGTTACAAATCAATAAAAAATATTCATGAACCGACTATGGAATAAATTTTATGAAGGCTTAAATATGTAATATGTAAAGCCATTTACCTGTTCTAGAATTTATAGCAAACCATGGTTGAAGTGGTGGAGATTCGAATCCGTACATGATGAAATTTGGTTCCGTAAGATTAGTGTCTGGATCTTCGGCTTGTGGAATGAGAACAACTGTCCCTATGGCGGTTGACTCCAAGATACCTGGTGGTGAAATAGAATATATAGGTACATAAGAACGATAGAAATCTATGTAAGAATGATAAAAATGCTGGATCCACACGCACAAAGGGATCTTAGCAGTGTGATTATATCAACTCTCATACTTAAACATAGAATTTTAAATGATATTATATTGTTTCGTGATGCTAGAGACCCGTTAACATCCGGGTTAGCTAGTTTTACGCCACACTCAGCAATATTCCAGCTATATGGCGGCAGTCTGTAAATAATGGAGTGTGGACCAGACAACCCAGTGATCAACAGCGTTCAACATCGATCTACGCAATTGGGATACGATGACATGTGTCAACCAAGTCAGCGAGCCTGACCACCCGATCCCGTTAGTCGCCTCTTACGACAAGCATGGGTTACTGAAGACCAATCATCCGGATTTCACGGGTCTTTTTAATGCAGTTACTACATTTTCTTTCGATTTCACGATTTTCATGCCTTTATTTAACATGTAACAACCCCTAATATAGAAACATATACCCTTGCGGAATTCTTATTGTTCCATGATATACTCTAGACTACCCACTTGTTGTGAACACGCTCGTCGAAGTCCACGTTGGATCATGGTCATCCACGTCGGTGACGGTGACCTTGACCTCTACGCTAGCCGTGTACTGTATAAGTCCGGTGTCCTTGACATCAATAATGAGTGAATACTCCACCTGTCCAGATTCGTAGTCGACGGGGCTGTTGAGAGTTACCTCCCCTGACGTTACGTCGACACCAAGAATGCTTGTGTCACCTTTAGAAGACGAACCGAATGAAAACAGTTATGAAATGATACACATATATCATACGTTGCCAATGTCATCATTTTAATTCATTATAATGTATATTTGTAACGTTCACAATTATCATTATCATTTCAACGTACCCCCAACTGCAGTGTAGGATAGTACATTAAGACTACCACTGTCGATGTCGCTGCAGGTAAGCGTTGTAATTGTCGACCCTGTCGTCGTAGACTCCGGGATATAGACGAGCTTCAGATAATCCGTGCAAGTCTGAATGAAGACATGTTTAAGATTACTCTAGGTAACCTGTGGCACATGTTCCTTACAAGAATTCCCCGCGGGGTCCTGGATTGGAAGGTCAGGTACCGTGACTTGATAGATTCAGTGTGCGAAATAGTTTCCAAATTTTGCTAGCCAGTCGGGCAAGCTATGCCTGAAAGTTACTAGCCCACAGAATAATTCACTCCCCCAAACACAGGTTTCATCAATAAGCTGCTAATATGATGAACATTTTTATCAGGCCATAATCTTGTATGATTTAAAAGGGTATTATAACTTAACAAGTCGGAGAGAGTGATATATTTACAAAATGACCCCCATGACTGTGGAGATTTCTGGCCCGACTGGATTGTTACTAGCCACGGGCTAGCGGGCCAGTGGCTATTTCGCACACTTGATAGATTGCTTGTTATCTAAACCCAACATCGTTGGACGTTCCTTTTAACCTCATTTACTGGTTTTCCTGGACCAAAGTTGACTATTTACACATCGCCGTTACATATTGGAATACTGCCAGGCTTTCACCACAAACAACTATAAGGCTTTACCAAATGATAAAATTTAAGTGTATCCTCTTGGGACAATGGAACAGGTTAGTCACATTAAGAGCTTTAAGAGTGTGGAGTCCAGGGCCCCGTTTCACAAAGCTATCGTAGCGCTACGACTGCCATACCTCCTATACTGTAACATAGACGTCGTAGCGCTACGATAGCTTTGTGAAACGGGGCCCTGGAGCGGTTTCTAAAGATGTATACGAGACGGGATTGCCAATCGCCAAAAATTACAACGTCCAAGATGACGGGTTTGACGTTAAGCCACCGTCTAACCACTGAGTAAACACAAACGGAGGGTGACGCGTTCTGAAATTACATTACCTACCGGGTACCCATTTTCTGCTGATCGAACTGAAGTACGTGGATATAGATCATATATGAACGTTTGATTAGTTGTTATGCTTGCGACAGATGGTATATTAGGCAGAAACAGGATAAAAAGGAATAATTAAAAAATGACACAAAATTAAGACACATTCCGCCCTTACCGGTTTGAAGTTATTGGAATCAGCTACATAGACCGTCATCTGGGCCGTGGCTGTCTTCGGGATATCTGGGTCAAGGTCAGTTGCCTTGAAGGTCAAAAGGAAGTTGTTTTTTTCTCGTACTCCAAGTATTTGTGAATGTATATGTTACACGTCTGTGGATCTATCCAAAACTTGCCATAAGGATCACCACCTGAGAATATTCAGAACAATTTATAATTATTATATGCGATATTTATATAGCGCCCTATTTTAACTACTTCTGTATAACTCTAAGGCGCTTCACAAGTTGTTTTTCCCCTCTATCATTGGATGTCAATCTCAAACGGCACATTCTATTTTTATTATTTCTATTATTCACTCCCTTTTGTATCCCAGAATGATCTATAATACGCATATATATACTTTAATAGTCACGAAGTTTAGATTCTACTGATTTCAAATCTCTTTTGGAATCACCAATTACAAAACCACGAAGCCACGAAGATATGTTTGCAATCATCACGACATGTCTAAACCAAATAATGGGGTAACAAATCTATAATATAGGTCTTAATTCTACTAAATGCCTTGCGACCTAACTCTTTCAAAACGATGTTATTTGTTTTGTGTCTTTTTCCGAATCTGAGGTGAGGTGAGGTGAAATTGCGTGCTTGAGAATATTTCGCTCATATGACGACGTGCATGCGTATGTGTATGTGCGGCTTTTGATACTAGCCCAGACTTAAGCTGGTTTTATAGTGCTAGCTCACTGAGATACCATGCCGCAGTGAACCATGAATACCCCACTCAGACACATTATACTGACTCCGAACCGACCAGTCCTTGTTGTACCCAATAATGCCGAGCGCCAGGCAGGGACCAACAAGTACCATATTTTAACGTGTTTTGGTATGACGCGGTCGGGGATCGAACCCGCGACCTTCCGCTCTCCGGGCGGACGCTCTAACCACTACACCACGGAGGCGGTCTCCGAATCTGAGGCACAAAATGTCAGGGCTGTATAGGTACAGAATGGATCTGGTAGACAGGTTGACAATCATCGTATAGTCTGACTGGGCTGTGAAAGTACACCCTGGCTTCACCTGCGGTATCTTTGGAAAATTGAAAAAAAAAAACTAGAAAGAAAAAAAAAGCAAAAAAACACTCAACCTTTAAGCCAAATCCCATTTGCCAGATGCACCGTGTCGTGGTCGTAAAGTGACTGAAAGAGGTTTCAGGATGATCTTCCCAAGCGCCGCTGAGATAATCCATGGTATTAACACGAGCCCAGTGAATAATTCAACACTTACCTGTGATCTCGATCCGTACCTCTCCTGCCAAGCCACCACTCCCCGAGTCCTTATCAGACAAGGTACAACTCGTTATGAGAGTGCCAGGTGCAGACATCTCGTCCACGGTGATGCTGGCCGGGAGGTTCGTAATTTTGGGGGCGTTGTCGTTGACGGAGAACAGGTAGATACTGACCCCGACGATAGCGGTCTGGCTAGGTACCCCTTGATCATATACTTCCACCTCAACCTGAAATGGTTTTGTTTGACTGAAAGTTGCGAAAAGCTAGGCAAGCTGACGTTAAATGCTGCAAGTGAGGGAGTGAGTGAGTATGGTTTTACGCCGCTCTTATCAATATTCCGACAATATCACGGCAGGGGCACACCAATAATGGGCTTCACACGTTGTACCCATGTGGCAATTGAACCTGGGTCTTCGGCGTGACGAGCGAACGTCATAGCCCCTACGCTACCCCAAATGATGCAACTTATTCCGAAAACGGTTCGCGTGAACACGCATCACGTGTGTGTGTGTGCGTGTAGTTTGCATACACGCACACACCCATAGAGGCATATATTTATTGTCTTCATCTATAAAATGTTTGAAAGCATAACCAGCACGTAATTAAGGATTTCACTCAAGTGGTGACAATATAATTCGGAAACCACTGATCCACCCACCTTTAATGCAAATAGGGACGCACGTGGCATTGCTGGCTCCCAAATTCCGGAGATCGTGTTCGAATCCAAAACTCACCTCAACCTTTTGCTAGTATGCAATCAGGTAACTCACGTTATGCGAGGTGAAGTGACTGACGTTAAACAGACATTTATCTATAGATAAGATATATTTAAAATATATCAACTGTTTTGGATATTTACAACAAAAATATGACAGTTTTTAAAAATCAACCACAAACTTACAAAATAGTATTTTTGAAAGTCTGCGTTGAATTTCTTCTTTAGCTTGATGGCGCCAGTGTTCGCATCAACGTCAAATCTTGCGGCCTTTCCTGACAACATCTTGTACAGGAGAGTTCCCTCTGGGGTGGACGGGTCGTCGGCATCGGTGCACCCTAACGCAGGGACGATGATGGTGTTGACGCTGGTAGCTTCGGATAAATTCACTTGCAGGAACGTCGGGGTACACGTGGGGACGTTGTATGGAGGGTCAACGGCGTCTGTACCGTGGACTAAAATCAGATGGATTAACATATGTTATATCTGGGATTACACTTACTTACACCCCGCTCAGCTACCGCGACTTCCACAGCGGGTTAGGCGGCTGACTTTGTGTGCTGGCGATTAGGTGCCTGACTCTGAGGGTGTGAGTTCGAATCCCGGATGGGGCTCAACTCAAAAAGTACTAGAATTTGTACTATACTAAGAGAGTGTAATCCCAAATATAACATACGTTACATTTGACCACTTTCTAAATAGCATTGTGTAATCACAGATGGATTAAGTTGTGAACCGAAAGCTGAAGAAAACTAACATCCACGAGAAATGCTGTGGTTCAAAATATATAGACATAATATGAAATTACATTAATCTTTTATGTTTATCCGGTACTCTACATCCCTCTGGGGCGGTGGGGTAGCCTAGTGGTTAAGGCGTTCGCTCGTCACGCCGAAGACCCGGGTTCGATTCCCCACATGGGTACATTGTGTTAAGCCCATTTCTGGTGTCCCCCGCCGTGATATTGCTGGAATATTGCTAAAAGCGGCGTAAAACCAAACTCACTACATCCCTCTGACATGAGTAGCATGTAATTTTGGACTGCATGTAAATGTAAATGTTTTCATTATGAATATGGTTCAATACTCGCCATATTCTGATTTTGATAAATAATCTTCACTTCAAAGGGTGCTAGCCCAGTAGCCCTGCCAGATACCAAACCACAGTTTCACACAGATGCGCCATCCAGACACAGTATGTTGATTCCAAACAGACCATTCCTGTTTTTATCCCCTCAAGGCCGAGCACCGAGAATATTGCCTGAAGTACCATCACTTTAAGTCCTTTGGTAGTACGCGTCCTGGGTTCGAACCCCATACCTTTCCTCTTCAGGTAGACCCCCGGGGCGCGCTTTTGATGCCTAATCAATTTATATTTGCACGTACTTTGGTACTAGTGTTACAAACTTTCACATTTATGGCTGATAATCAATTGTAATTAAGTAGACAAAAAGTTTCTTTGGAATACGTAATCTCGCCATCGAGGTCCTCCAATGCTCTTAAAACCCGATGGGGCAAAATTAAATAGCTTCTGGTTCACATACACCATAGCTGTAACCATAGTTAAGACGACAAAATTAAAAGCTGTGTTCATGGTAGACACAGAGTATGAGTTTAACGTTTTATGGAAATGACAATTCATGAAAAGCAACAGCTTAAAGAATGGCGCCATTCAGGCTACAAGTTCGACAACCTAAACTCATGTATATCAGATATGGTTCCATCTTATGTTGTAATCGGCGTTAACAGACTCTTTGGACAGTCCGCATTACAATATGATCCCAGCTTATACTGTCTTACACGAGCTAATGATCCCGTAGCTATACGGCAGCTGGATCTATGAGTCTTGCCAACTTTTACAGACTCCTGATTTTATGTTCTGGACACATATGCAGTGCCATGTTATTTTGATAAGGCCGTAAGAGCGGCAGATAAAATTGTTCCAATCACCATTGCATTCTTGTTGGTTCTGAGATAAAACACAGTTCCATAAAGAAGTACTTGTATGTTTATTGGTTTCTTTTCCGTGTGAGTCCTATTCCGAATTTAAACTTTTGTGAAAAATCACTTTTGCAGATTTATTCATGCTCATAAGCTTAAAATTACAAAACCCTATCTATGGTCACTAGCGATGTTTGCCAAAACCATTCCGTTTTATGGTTCCGATGTGTTGACGAATCACACTCAAATGATGATACCAAGCGTTAGGCATACCTTTTTCTTTTCCCGGTGGCACCTTTCACAAACACATGCACAGGCTAGTCAATTGTTCATATGAACAAACATGGGAGCGCATTGGATATGCAATATTTTGTTTCAGTGATGAGTCAAATTTGGAAATATCCTCCCACGTCTAACACATTGTCATTTGAAAGCTTTACTGAAGCCTTGAATGTTATAAACCTCATCAAACAACTTTTAAGCTGGAGTCATAATACGCTTCGTGAAATTTTCATTGAAAGTGAGGTGATGTGAAATTGAGTTTAACGTCGTGCTTGAGAATATTTCGCTCATATGACGACGTGCATGCGTGTGTATGTGTATGTGCGACTGCTTGTACTAGCCCAGGCTGAAGCTGGTTTAATAGTGCTCATTGAAAGTGTAGATGACAATGGCGGGGACTTCTGGGATACTGTTCGATATTATGGAAAGTTGACTATTGTAAAGTGGAGGTCGATTAGGTACCTGACTCTGAGAGTGTGGGTTCGAATCCCGAATGGGACTCAACCCCAAATAAATACAATAATCTGTACTTTACTAACAAAGTGTAATCCCAGTTATAACATGTCACATTTGACCACTTTCTTAACGGTATTGTGTATTTGTGTACAATCCAATTTTGTTTCTTGGAACAAAATCCGTAGCTTAAATCATATTACCCATGTTACAAATTATGTCTCAAATGGTCAATGTTTCTCCTGAAGATGACATTCTTGGATGACTCTTGCTCAGAAATTGTTCGATCAAGGTTACAACATTCAAGGCCTCAGTAAAGCTTAAACTGACTGACTGACTGAGTATAGTTTTACGCCGTTTTTAGCAATATTCCAGCAATATCACGGTGGGGGACACCAGAAATGGGCTTCACAAATTGTACACATGTGGGGAATCGAAAAGCGTGGACGAATGTGGACTAGGCTAAAAATGATTTCCGATGGAGTTGGACACCTCCGATGCAGTTCTCTATTTTGACTTGTATCATGCGTTCGCGAACGTATTTCAGGCGAACAGTTTACTAAGCTTTGCACATGTTCATGACGGGTGCAACCGGTGAGGCAGGATACGCTCATCTTTTCGTGAACACCCGGTATCATCACTTTTGATAACGATTCATAAACACATACTCTGTCATCGTATCTCATATTGTCAATCACTGGATTGTCTGGACCAGAATCGATCGTTTACAGACCACGTCGTACATTTGTAATGCTGCTGAATGCGGTATCAAACAAACACATACTTATGATGACGTCAGAATTGTACAATCGGCTGCTTTTAGCAAAGATTTCTTATGGAATTGAAAGCGTTTTTCTCATTTCTGTTTACCGCCGTATATTTCAGACCCCATTAGCTGTTGTTGTCATGAGAACAACTGTAGCAAACCCTAAATATTCCATGCATGACTGACCCGTGAAGATCCGGGGTAGAATAGGTCTTCAGCAACCCATGTGCTTGCCATAAAAAGGCGACTATCTTGTCGTAAGAGGCGACTAACGGGATCGGGTGGTCAGTTTCGCTGACTTGGTTGACACATGTCATCGGTTCCCAATTGCGCAGATCGATGCTCATGCTGTTGATCACTGGATTGTCTGGTCCAGACTCGATTATTTACAGACCGCCGCCATATAGCTGGAATATTGCTGAGTGCGGCGTAAAACTAAACTCACTCACTCACTCCATGCATGACTTCTAAATTCTCAGCCAAGCCTACTTGCTATAATTTTGACGTAAATTGTTTTAATGTCAGCATTCGGAATGGTCGCCATAATGAGATCAATAATTCACTTCAATTAATGTTAACTTGGCGCCTTATAATCGAAAATTCCTCTCTGGCAGCGGGAGTTCTTGAAGGTGAATGAAAATGGATATTTGACGAGATTAGTAGGTGTCAATCTAATTGCTGGTTCCTGATATTTCTATTTGCCATTACAGACTGGTGTTTCTTGTGAACTGCGCCAAGTTGACACGAGAATACCCATTATTGAGAAATGCGAAGGAACAATTGTCTTCGATGGAAACCTGCGGTAATTACTGAATTGCTGAAGGAGGAGGTACTATTATTTGACACGGCTGAACCTGTGTAAGATACGGTTGTTGTTGTGTGTCCACTGACGTAAATATGTAACACAGAAGAAAGTCGTCGGGAAGACGTTGGTGATAACTTCATTTGGTGTATTCGTGAATATTTCAACCTTTGCCCATGGCTCAGTATGATAAAACTTATTGAATCACAATACATTTTTTCAATTTCGATTGAAATCAGAATACATCAACAAAAACAATTAGTTTTGTTTGTTTGTTGTTTAATGTCGCACTTAGCAATATTCCAGCTATATGACGGCGAGGTCAAAATAATCGTGTCTGGGCCAGACAACCAACACCATGGGACACGATGACGTGTGTCAGCGAGCCTGACCACCCGATCCCGTTAGCCGCCTCGTAAGACAAGCATGGGTTACTGAAGACCAATTCTAACCCGGATCTATATGGGCAATAACAAATAGTATACAGAATGAACTGTCGGACAAAAGAGTGAGTGAGTGAGTGAGTTTAGTTTTACGCCACTTTTAGCAATATTCCAGCAATATCACGGCAGGGGACACAAGAAATTGGCTTCACACATTGTACCCATGTGGGGAATCGAACCCGGGGCTTCGGCGTGACGAGCGAGCGCTTTAACAACTAGGCTACCCCACCGCCCCCTGTTGAAAGAAACTTATAGACATGAAATTTGGATTAACCAAAATATTACAAAGATTATCAAATTATTACTGGGTTGATAACACTCGCCGAACAAGGTCAAGGAAGCAACTGTAATAAACTTCATATCTATAAAATCAAATGGAAATTATGCTTTAGTGGAATCGTTATTCGTATTGGGAGTCGACATTACGTTCAAATTTGTTTTCTCAATTAAATTGCACATCAAAAGTATTGAAACACTGACAAACACCTTAGTCTGAAATCGAAATGTGTATTATTCTAAACAGTAATTATATCTACGTTTTCAAAGATCATGTTTAACTTTGACAACAACATATGAAGATGGTACGAAAATGCAATAATAATTCAGTATGCCATAAAGGCAGATCTTTAGTTAAACCAAATGTGTGTTTGTTTGTTCGTTCGTTCGTTCGTTCGTTCGTTGTTAAACAGAATTCTTTGCGACATTCAAGCTGTATAAAGGCGACAATTTAATCGAGTCATTCAAACCAGTGATTGACATAATGAACATCGATGAACACAATTGGGGTACGATGATATATATCAACTAAGTCAGTGAGCCTAACCACCCGATCCCGTTAGTGGCCTCCCGTCAAACACACGTTACTGGGGACCTATTTTGAGCTGGAATCCCCATTGATGTTCATGTGAGGAAACTGAGAACATGCAAGACATATACTTACAACAGTAGCAGAGGAGTCCAAGAATCACTAAGTACTTCAACCCGCACATACTGAATCATAAATATATTACGTCACTCTGTCCAGTATGGGGCTATTTAACCGCATCCAAATATCTCACAGACCACCAGTGGGCATCCATTGCTTTCTGTTTGAACTTTCTGACAGTTCGATCACAGTGTCAGTCCAAACATCAATCGGACACCTATATATACCTATCAATGACCCCAAATTATTATTCCATGCTCCAGTGACCTCTGTGTTAGGACGCATAATGATACCGTCACGGTCTCCATTTAGTTTCTTACAGAGAATTGAAAGGCATTCAATACATTTCCATAACAGTAAAATAACGACCTTCCTGCAGTGACTGCATGGACAAAATACAAACAGAATTAATACAGAACATTTATGGAATCTTTCCAACAAATACAGTACTCTATATAATCGGTTTCGAAGCGAAGAAAGTATACTTTCGACGAAGAATGTATTTTTTCAATTCATTTTTTTCACCCTGAATGTCCAGTCTGGGCCTATTTTGAGCACGTTGAAGTGATTAGTTAATTATTAACATAATACAATCCTTTTTGGTTTGTTGGATTTCATATTGAATTATTTCGAGAAAATATTTCCAGGTTTATATACCGGTTCAGTTTGGAAGTACACACGTAATGTTATAAAATTGTGATGGTACTAGATATTCGTATTATTGTTTGTAAGGTATCCTGCCCCGTACCAAACACATGCAAAGGGAAGTCAATTCATAGAAATACATAGGACATCATTAATGTCGCTGATGTTTCAAATACGGAAATATCCTTTGAGATGCCTTGAACGTTGTAGCCTTGATCAAACAACTTTCGAGTAGTGAGTGATATGACGCTCTTTCAAATGTTCGTGGGAAGAACAGTCTCGTTTGTATCTCAAAAGTTGTAAAACGTAAACACTAATAATTGCATTTTTTTAGTATAAATGCCAAGGGAAAGTTGATTACTGGACAGTCAAGTCATGCTGTTTGTGATATAGTCTTTTGGGGTTGTTTATCCGAATGTTTATGTACAGATCTTAATATGAAACAAATAAGGCTGTTTCACATGAACATTGTATTTCTATCTCAGATTGGTATACTCGTATCAGTGGTAGGCAATTGATTATTTAATCGTTATTGAGCTGAAGCGACAATCGATATATTTCAAACTTTACAAGATATCAGGACATGTTCAGCTAAGCAACAGCTAAGCAACAGCTAAACAACAACTTTAATATTTATGTTTTTTTACCATGACATGCTAAATTCCTTTGAGCACAAAACATTATCCCATGTAACAAAATTAATCGCATATTTACAACGTCAATGAACTGAACTGGAAAGTATACGTCCATTCCAACACATGCGATCACATAGCGTCAGTGATCCATCGACGTCGTAAAATTCTCACTATGTGTCTGTTTCAATGGTGAAAGAGAAAGGGTTATAGCTCGTTTAAACGGCACCTTGTCTATTGCCACTGTGACTCTTAACATGGGTCGAGCACTGAACACCTCTGAAGAGAAGGGAGGCATTGTCATTGGCGACTTCTCTTTCATGCATCAGACAAATTCGTTTATTGCGCTTCTTTTATTCCAAACTAGGTATACGTGCTTGTTTACATGTTGTTGACAGTCTATTACAGGGAGTTACGAGTTATTCGAGTCCTTTGAGGTCAAAACTTTAAGAAAACTCAGTCATGTCGATTCTATCAGATTCGATTGATATTCTTGATCGTTTATACCTATGTTTTGCAGATAAAATGCTGAGTATGCTTGTCGTAAAGGGTGACTCAGATATCAGTTGGAGAACTTTGCTCGTTTTTATGCCTACAGTGTTTGCCGATGATCAAAATGCTCTGTCCAAATATGCTTGTCGTAAAGTCATGACTAATGTTATCAGGTGGTCAAGAACGTTGACTCGGTAATGTCTGTCACCAAAGGCAGTATCAGGCCGATGTTTGGATGAAAAATAATCAATCAGATGGATTCGCTCCTCAAAAGGTCCAAATCTCGGTGGTGGTTGATGGTGTCTGACATTTAGTTGTGCCAAGATGACTGGTCAAACTGGGTATGGTTGTATTTACTTGTGTGTGGAGTGTGTGGGGACATGGTTGTGGGGTGAGGTTGGGCGGGATGGGATCTAAACAAGAACATCAGATGGTCCCACGCCAAAGACCCGGGTTCGATTCCCCCATGGGCACATGAGAGTGCCCATTTCTGGAATGAGACTGCTAAAATTGCGTAAAATGGCTAAACTCACTCACTTGGGCTTGTGTTTGCGGTTTTAGTGTGTTAATGTCATAGGGGTGTGGTTGTATTGTGGAGGGATCTAAACAGCAATATTAAATGGCCCCCTTACAGATGTACTTTACTCCAGTCTTACACCACACCGGGTGACTCCGGCCTACCACGACCACGTTCCCCGCCAATCCTTCCGCATAAACCCCTGATCAACACACAATCTCTCGATAAATTTACGTCTACGATCAAATGAAAGAATTCAAACGAAGTACAAACACGACAGAGCATTTAATGACAGAATATATATGTCCTTGGCAAACAAGCAAACGTTATCTATCACCATTCACCGTTATTCTGTTGATAACTCTCTTAGGTCATTTGTCCGACAGCCGCGGACAGTGTGCTCATGGTCAGGTCATTTGATCTCGGACAATGGTGTTTGTGTTGACTCGCTCCATACGACTTGATGATATTAATGCTTAAAGAACGTACGTAGACCCATTTTGTATCTGGACTGGACGAGAGTGAAGTGTTAATGTTTGCCTTTCATCTGCGTATTATGCCTGTTTATGTGATTCATAGGAGCTGGTAGCTTTAGTGGATCTATTTGTTAGCTGTAGAATGTGGGTATTGAAATGTGTTTATGGAAATATGTTTATTGACTGCGCCTCAGCTATGTTGACACGGAGAATACTAGTTACTGCTGATTATTTTCATATTCAAGAAACAGAGAACTAAAATTATGTATGGGCATTGAAAGTCATGTATTATAACAAGTGTATTATACTATTTCTGAAAATTTATAGAATATTTTGTTTTGTATTACCAGAAATGTTTCAATATAGAACAAACTTTATGGATAACAACTTATTTTTATTCGTGAGTGCGACGTTTCGATACAGATTCTTGTACCGTTGTCAAGCATAATGGAAAATGAAGAAGGGGGAAGTAGGTATAGGAAATGTTTCATTTATCTAAACATATAATCCATATTTTATTATGGAGTGGAATCGAAGTTCACTCTGGCACTTCCGGGTAAGACCTTGTAGAAACATGTCACAAATGGATCGAAGGTGAAGGTCATTGAGTCA